CAACAGTTACAGTGAATTAAGATCATGACGCACATCAACTAACACACAACTAATTAAACTAAAAATCCGCTTCGTCTTGTTTGGGTCATAATCAAACTCGTGGTCATAGTCCATTCCGGTGGTCATTCCAATACATAGCACCTAATTGAAGGCCTTTTCAAAGAGCCAGGTTTTCAGGCCCTTGCGGAAGGCCAGGAGGGAAGGCGCCTGTCTAATTTCAGCAGGGAGGGAGTTCCACAGCCGGGGGGCCACCACCGAGAAGGCCCGTTCTCTAGTCCCCGCCAAGCGTGCCTGTGAGGCAGGCGGGACCGAGAGAAGGGCCTCCCCGGATGATCTCAAGGTCCTCGTGGGCTCGTAGGCCGAGATGCGGTCTGCAAGGTATTTTGGGCCGGAACCGTTTAGGGCTTTGTAGGATAACACCAGCACCTTAAATTGGGCCCGGTAGCGAATCGGCAGCCAATGGAGCTGGGACAGCAGGGGCGTTGTATGCTCTCTGCGTCCCGCTCCTGTTAGTACACATGGCTGCCGCGCGCTGGACTAGCTGGAGCTTCCGGGCCGTCTTCAAGGGCAGCCCCACGTAGAGAGCGTTGCAGTAGTCGAGGCGGGATGTGACCAAAGCGTGTACCACCGTGGCCAAGTCAGACTTCCCAAGATACGGGCGCAGCTGGCGCACGAGCCGAAGCTGTGCAAATGCTCCCCTGGTCACCGCTGAAACCTGGGGATCCAAGCTCAGCGATGAATCCAGGGTCACACCCAAGCTGCGAACCTGCGCCTTCAAGGGGAGGTGCGACCCCGTCCAGCACAGGCTGTAACCCTATACCCTGTTCGGCCTTGCGACTGACCAGGAGTACCTCTGTCTTGTCTGGATTTAATTTCAGTTTGTTCGCCCTCATCCAGACCGTCACAGCGGCCAGGCACCGGTTCAGGACTTCGACAGCCTCCTTAGTAGCAGGTGGGAAGGAGTGACAGAGTTGGACGTCATCTGCGTACAGGTGACACCGCACCCCGAAACTCCGGATGATCTCACCCAGCGGCTTCATGTAGATGTTAAACAGCATGGGGGACAGGATGGAGCCCTGAGGAACACCACAGGTCAAAGGCTGTGGAGTTGAACAGGAGTCCCCCAATAACACCTTCTGGGTGCGACCCTCCAGAAATGACTGGAGCCACCGCAAAGCGGTGCCCCCAAGGCCCATCTCTGCAAGGCGTCCCAGAAGAATACCGTGGTCGACGGTATCGAAGGCCGCTGAGAGGTCCAGAAGCACCAACAGGGACACACTCCCCCTGTCTAGCTCCCGGCGGAGATCATCCACTAAGGCGACCAAGACCGTCTCGGTACCATGTCCCGGTCTGAAGCCAGACTGTGCCGGATCCAGATAATCCGTGTCTCTCAAGAATACCTGGAGTTGTGAGGCCACCACGCTTTCCATGACTTTGCCCAAGAAGGGAAGATTGGAAACAGGCCGAAAGTTGTCCAATTTAGTGGGGTCCAGTGATGGTTTCTTCAACAGCGGCTTTATAACAGCCTGTTTCAGGCTCGCTGGAATCTTGCCTTCCCGGAGGGAGGCATTAACCACCACCGTTACCCACTCAGCCAATCCCCCTCTGGCCTCCTTCAGAAGCCAGGATGGGCAGGGGTCTAGGATGGACGTGGTGGGTCTCATTCCTCCAAGTATCTTGTCCACATCCTCGGGTTTCACAAGCTGAAAAGAATCCAACAAAATCGGACAAGCAGGTGCTTGAGTCACATCCACAGAGACTGCATTTAATGTGGCGTCCAGCCCAGAACGGATCAAAGCGACTTTGTCTGCAAAGAACCGAGCAAATGCTTCACAGCGCGTGTCCGAGTTGTCAGGGCTCCCACCTGAAGTAGGGGGAGTTAAAAGACCTCTGACAATCCGAAACAACTCCGCCGGACGGTTTTTAGCAGACGCAATAGTAGCCGCAAAGAAAGTTTTCTTTGCGGCTTTTATTGCCGCGGCATATGCCCTTAAAAAGGACACAAACCGTGCTCGATTTGGCTCGCTTGGGTCCGAGCGCCACACGCTCTCTAGTTCCCTCTTCCTTCGCTTCATCGCTGCCAGCTCCTCAGTGAACCAAGGAGCTGGTTTAGCTCGGTTACTTGAGAGGGGACGTTCCGGAGCGATCCTGTCAATTGCCCTGGTCATCTCCCCATTCCAGAGAGCGACCAAGGCCTCGACATGGTCACCTACCGAGGCGGCGGGAAAATCCCCAAGAGCCGTCAGGAATCCATTCGGATCCATAAGCCTCCTGGGGCGGACCATCTTAATGGGTCCTCCACCTTTGCGGAGGTTAGGGGGCGCAGTGAGCCTAAATCTGATCAGGAAGTGGTCGGTCCATGGCAACGGAGAGATGGACAACTCCTCCACACCGCCACCTTGCTCCCATCCCTGGCAGAAAACCAAGTCCAATGTGTGTCCGGCACAGTGGGTGGGGCCAGTTATTTGTTGGGACAGCCCCATGCTTGCCATGGCAGACATGAAGTCCTGAGCCGCTCCTGTGAGGGTCGCCTCGGCATGGATGTTGAAGTCCCCCAGCACAAGAAGCCGTTGGGACTCCACCACCAGGCTCGAGACCACCCCCGCTAGCTCAGGCAGGGAGGCTGTAGTGCAGCGAGGTGGACGGTACACTACAAGGATCCCTATTCTGTCCCGGTCACCCACCCTCAGGTGGACGCATTCGAAATTTGTGGTCTGCGGGATGGGACTCCTGGTCAGATGGATGGAATCTCTATAGACCACTGCGACCCCGCCTCCCCGTCCTCCGGCTCTTGGTTGGTGTTGCACGGAGAAGCCTGGAGGACACAGCTGGGAGAGGTTTACGCCCCCAGCTTCATCCAACCAGGTCTCCGTGATGCACGCCAGATCTGCCCGCGCCTCCAGGATTAAATCCTGAATCCAGGTCGTTTTTCCGTTGACAGATCTGGCGTTCAACAACACACCTTCAAACCAGAGGGCCCGCTCACCTGGTTACACCAATTTACCTTAGGAGACCGGTTGGGGGTTGTTAATATGGATAAGCGGTCCGAATTAGGCCGAATTCGAGGTCTCCTTTTCCCGCATCTCCTCCTTCCCACCACGACCTCTATGGGGGCCCCTCGGCTCGTGGAACACCTCCCCCCCTCCATGCCGCAGTCTAACGCCCCCCTCCCCACCTCATTTTTATTTATAGGGTTCAACCCACCTCCTCCCCTGTCCCTCACACTATACAGTAGTAGCAGGGATAACACACAGAGGGGGATGGGGGACCACATAGATGACAGCGGTACAAGGCGGTGTTGGATCTTCTGGCCACACAACAAGAAAAGTTCATAAAGTGCACAATAAATAACTAGATCTAAAGTGCAGTTGCTATAGTAGTTAAAGTGCAGTAGCTAAAGTGCAGTAACTACAGTGCGGCACGGAGGGCTAGGAAGGGATGAAGTGCTAGTGCGATTGGAAGTGTTAATGGCGGCACAGGCAGGCGCCTTAAAGTGCTTTCATTCATAAAGTGCTATATCTCAGACTTCATCTTAGGGAAGAAGCAAGTAAATTAAGAAGGTCACAGAGACTCTGTAACAAGCAGCGGTGTGAGAAATCTCAAAGGCAAGGCAGTCAAGGTCACAGACATGACTTCATGGCTTGTGGACCTCAAATCAGAGAATTGTTTCCTTTAGAATTCAGATCAGGCAACGCTGTGTAACAGTGAGGGTCTCAAGTCTTGTTTCCAGTTCATGTTTTGAGTCTAAGATCTTGGGGATTATGGTTTCATGTTTTATGAAGGCTCTATAGTCTTGCTTTTGGATTCATGTTCACGTTTTGATTCTTGCTTTCCTGGAAGATGCTCATGTTTTGATTCTGGATTTTCCTGTACCTTGTTTTATGGGACAGATTTGGACTGGTGGGAACGAGAGACAGGCCTTCTCTGTGGTGGCCCCCCAGCTATGGAACTCTCTCCCGAATGAAATTAGATCTGCCCCCTCCCTCCTGACCTTTAGGAAGCTAGTAAAATCATGACTATGGAACGAGGCATTCCCAGAATGGTGGCTGGACCGGCAATTGACCAAAGTTATTGACCACAAGATGCAGACTGAGTTGGACATGATTTTATCTTGGCGAATTGGCTTATATGTATTTTATCCTATATGTATTTTTTAATTCACTGTTGATGTATGTTGTTTAGATTGTATTGATGTTTTAGACTGTACTGTTAGCATCGAATCCTTGCTGTAAGCAGGTCTGAATCCCTCTACAGAGGTAGAGAAGTTCGGGATATAAAAGTTTTAAATAAATAAATAAATTATTGCCCTTATTGTGTTTTTTCCCCCATTACCTATTGGATTTTGCCTTTCTTACTTCTTATGGTGACTTTTCCTTTTTATATGTACTTTCCTCAATCAACTGTTTTGCTATCACTTTTGGATTCCTGGTGTTGACTGCAAGGTGAATTCTGACTGGGGTGCAACAGTGGCACTACAACTCATATTACACTATGTAACAAAATTAGAAAAAAAAAATCTGTTCCTGGTCTGAAAGTGTTATTTCTTTAATTGTGTGGTACTTATTTGAAAGTAGTTGTTATACTCCAGAAACTTTGTTTTGTGCTGCCAGAAACTAGGTTTAATGAGTTGAGACTCTATGATGAGATATTTATTGAAAAACTATAGTAAAATGTGCTATAGCAGGATGTCCCTCCCACAAAAACAAAGTTTTTGCAGTTCAATAAACTTTCCCCATATTTTAATGATAGAATCAATTAGGAAATGACATTTATAACCCAATAACAAAATCATGTTATGAAGTATTATCACTGGTCACGATGAGTAAGAGTTAAGTGAGTTGCTGTGCAATTGCTGTTCCTATAGACGTGGGAGGCAGAGTGAGATGTAACTGCAGCAAAATCAAGTATCCCATGAGGCATCCTTGATTTTGAAGAAAAATCTTACATTATTAGTAATGAGGAAAAACACAGAGAAAATAAATAGCAGGGCAGGCTCTCACCATTGCTCGAGCTTCCTCTCGTATGGCCGGAATAGCAAGGATGCTGTAAAGTGCCCCGTTCACATAGGGATGGATCTGCAAGAGAAGAGAATATATATTTTAAACCAAAGGAGACACCTCTCTCTGTGGCCCAATCGCTCCCACTTCTATACGAAAGCTGACTGCACAACCTGGGGATCACAACCAGACACAGTGAAGACATCTGCCCTTGCGCTATGCTACTCTGCTGCTGAGTATGCATGGCCAGTGTGGAACACATCTCACCACGCTAAAACAGTGGATGTGGCTCTTAATGAGACATGCTGCATTATCACGGGGTGTCTGCGCCCTACACCACTGGAGAAATTAGCCGGTATTACACCACCTGACATCCGCCGGGAAGTAGCAGCCAATAGTGAAAGGACCAAGGCAGAGACATCTCCAGCTCATCCCTTGTTTGGATATCAGCCAGCACGTCAACGACTTAAATCAAGAAATAGTTTTCTAAGATCTACAGAGACACTCGCTGGAACACCTCAGCAAGCGAGAGTCCAAAAGTGGCAGGCTCAAACCCAGAACCTCAATCAATGGCTGATACCAAATGAGAGACTCCCCCATGGGCACACAGAAAACTGGGCGACTTGGAAGGCGCTGAACAGACTGTGCTCTGGCACCACGAGATGCAGAGCCAACCTTAAGAAATGGGGCTACAAAGTGGAATCCACGACATGCGAGTGTGGAGAAGAGCAAACTACAGACCATCTACTGCAATGCAACCTGAGCCCTGCTACGTGCACAATGGAGGACCTCCTTGCAGCAACACCAGAGGCACTCCAAGTGGCCAGCTACTGGTCAAAGGACATTTAATCAACTACCAAGCTTGCAAACTTTGTGTTGTTTGTTTGTTTGTTAAAAAATGCAATGCAACTGTTTGGTCTGCCCCTGACACGATAAATAAATAAATGGCCAAGGACGACATCTTTACACTGCCTTCTGTGCACAGCTGGAGGAGCTACCCCACCTCACTACAAAGTGAATGAGATGGATAAGTGTGAGCCATAAAATCTCCAATTTCACTTTGCAGAAGACTCAAGAGTAGACTTTAAGCAAGGCAACATCTCTTCAGCCTCTTGTCCTGATAAGGGACTTAGCAAGAATACCTGAAATAATCCAAAACGCTTTGAACATAGTGTTGGCTTTAGTTACAATATTTATATTTCCTCAAAGCATTCTACGTATAAAGACAACTAAAAACATAAAAGCTAACAATGTCTTCAGACACAAAAGCTAACCATGTAAGAGCAAATGTATTCCCTGACTCAAATGCACATCTTATTTTCCAAGTATAGCTAAGTCTAAAAAATGTATAATTAAAATAATCACATACATTGTATATTCAGGTATAGTGTATGTGATTATTTTTAATTATAAGCATTTAAGCTTATTGATACTATGATACTATGAATGGAAACTAACAAAATTGTTTTCAAAGAGGACATCTTAACATTTTCCAAGATGGGCAAAGGAACCTTGACTCAACTGGAAGTTTCTGGAGTCCTTATGAACATCTATCTCCATGCGAACCTGATTACAGTAATCCCATACAGATGTCAGTCATACATGAATGAATAAATGAAAACCTTTATCTTTCAGCAGTGAGTCAAGCTGGAAAAAAAACCATCTTAAGGTGGTTAGAAGCCATAGCTGCCACCCGTTCATTATGTCCAAGTTTATTATTGTCATCCAACCCAATGTGAAAGCTCAGCCAGCAAGACACTATTAAAATATGTAGGGATTGTTATTCATGAAGTACTCTCAGTTTTGAATGATCCCAATGAGGGTGTGTGAAGTGGACAACGAAATACTCCGACTTCTCCAGAAGCTGGAAATCTGGAACCAGGAGGTTCACATCTGGGCTTCTGGGAAAGGCCTGGAGCACATTGAGCTCCATGCCTCGGGATCCAATTGAGGTTCAAAGAAAAGACTTTGCCAGGGCTTAAACATAATCCCAGGAACCGGCAGTCTGAGGTCCCAAAGGGCAGCTGTCGGGCATTCTTTTTTGGGTTAACGAGGGAGAAATTCCAAGGAGGAGGAGGTGAGGGAGCGAGCCTTTGCAGATGATTTTACAGGATGAAGAACTTAAATTGGCCATCAAGCAACTTTCAAGCAGAGCCAAACTCTCCAGATTATACAGGGTTAGTCAAAATGAATAGGCCAATAAGAAAATTAATTTTAGACGAATGTATGTTTATTGTAACCAAACTACAGCTACGTAGCGACAGATAAACTATCAAAGTTTTGTCTCACCTTCAGAGATGTTCGATATGGGCGCCCCGTGTGACACGGCAGATGTCCAAGCGATAGTCCAGTTCATTCCACATCCGTTGCAGCACATCCGACGTAATGGCATCGAATGCAGCAACGTCTGGGAAGGTGTTCGTTGAGGTCCTAACCCTAACCCTAACCCTAACCCTAACCCTATCCCTAACCCTAACCCTAACCCTAACCCTAACCCTATCCCTAACCCTATCCCTATCCCTAACCCTAACCCTAACCCTAACCCTAACCCTAACCCTATCCCTAACCCTAACCCTAACCCTAACCCTAACCCTAACCCAAACCCTTGAAATTCTCGCTGGACCGTAATTACTGACATTGTTTTAGCAAATGTCATCACACAAAACGCCTTCTCTTTGCTTGATTCCGCCATTTTGAAAACAGCGACCCCTAGCGACGCCTAGCGGCATTAACGTACATGTGTGTTGCTCAAAAAAAACTTTGATAGTTTATCTGTCGCTACGTAGCTGTGGTTTGGTTACAGTAAACATACATTCGTCTAAAATTAATTTTCTTATTGGCCTATTCATTTTGACTAACCCTGTATTATATGGCCTAAGTCTGAAACTGTTGCACTCCAAGGCTGGGAACACACTCCAGTCCAAGGTAAAATAGCAGTCTATTGAAGAATATATATGAAAAGCAATTCAGCAAAAAAGTATAAAAAAACAAAGTCCAACTATCAGGAATAATCCAGAGAATCAAAGTACAGGAGTAGCATCAAAAACCAGGAATACAAAAGCAGAATAAATCCAAAACATGAGATTCAGAAACAGTCCTCTATAGCTTGGAATCATGAAACATGAACAAAAGAAAACATGGAACTAGAAATCCCTTGACTTGACAATAGATCTATACTCAATCACCAACGCTGCCTGGACTAATGGACCTATCTGCTGGGCTAGCTAATATAGAGAGAAAATCATGCCTTCTTCCCTGGGAAACTGATAAGGACTTATTTGCTAACAATCATCTTGATCTTCGTACACTCTCCTGAGAAGCCCTATGTTGACGGAAAATAAATCTCCTATCTATCTGCTCATTAGCCTGTCCATCTGCTCATTAGCCTTTTCATCCTCTGAGCTCAGATCTGTTTGTGACCTTGCTTCCCTAGCAAACGGCCTTTCAGGAATGTGGCCTTCAGACACAGACTGCTCATTTTCAGGGCTTAAAATCTCTTGCTGGCTTTCCTGCTGACTTGCAGACACAGAATATCCAGTGTCCTCAGAATGACTAACAGGCCCAGAATCCCCAGAGAGATCAGGTGAAGGGACAATCAAAGGCTGAACTACAACAGAAACCACTACAACACACACACTCTCATGAGCTCAGACGGTGTTGTATTTTGGTGTTGACGTCAGCTTTTGTGAAGAGGTGGCTGCCAAGGTAGTAGAAATGGTCAACGTTTTCTAACGTTGTACCATTAAGCCGTATTTCTGTCATTGCAGAGGGATTGGTTGGTGCCTTTTGCTGCTAGGGCACTTTCATTTTCTTGATGTTCAATGAGAGGCAAGCGTTTTGCATGCTTCTGCCTAGAAGGTGTTCAAAGTAGGTCTTCCTCTGAATGAGAACAAACATTATGATTGACATATTGGAGTTCTATAACATAAATTGTTGTGATTTTACTCTTGACTTTTAACCTGTTGAGGTTAAAGAGCTTGCTATCCATCCAATAGATGATTTCCATGCTGGTAGGAAGCTTCCCATCAACAAGGTGCAGAATCATAGCAATGAAGGTGAAGAATAAGGTTGTGGCAAAAACACACCCTTGTGTGACACCTGATTCCATCTTAAATGGGTCACTTTGGGAGCTACTGCAATCCAAGACAGTTACCAACATGTTATCACGGAGGAGCCAAAGGATGTTCATGAATGTATTAGGGCATCAACTGTTTTTTAGGAACATGCTCCAGAGAGCATCATTATTCTTGGTGTCGAACACCTTTGCAAGATTGATGAACAGGGGTTGATTTCAAGCATAATCGGCATTTCACAAGAATGTGTGGGTCACATGACTGCTTGCTTAGCTATCAGAAGATCTGTCCACAATGGGTTGCGGAAAAAGAGTGTCGACTTCTTCTGTGATGGCTTCAGAAAACTTGTTCATTGTTGGCAGTAATGTTTTGGGACTCTGAAGTCTGGTGATTGTGTGGGAAAGTGAATAGTGGTAATTGAAGAGCACATTCTAAGGATTATGTTGTTGTTGTTCATTCGTTCAGTCGCCTCCGACTCTTCGTGACCTCACGGACCAGCCCACGCCAGAGCTCCCTGTCGGCCGTCACCACCCCCAGCTCCTTCAAGGTCAGTCCAGTCACTTCAAGGATGCCATCCATCCATCTTGCCCTTGGTCGGCCCCTCTTTTACCTTCCACTTTCCCCAGCATAATTGTCTTCTCTAGGCTTTCTGTCTCCTCATGATGAGGCCAAAGTACTTCAACTTTGTCTCTAGTATCTTTCCCTCCATGAGCAGTCGGGCTTTATTTCCTGGAGGATGGACTGGTTGGATCTTCTCGCAGTCCAAGGCACTCTCAGAACTTTCCTCCAACACCACAGCTCAAAAGCATCGATCTTCCTTCGCTCAGCCTTCCCTAAGATCCAGCTCTCACATCCGTAGGTTACTACAGGGAATACCAAGGATTAATACTAAGGATTATATCTGCGTTTAATTTATTAAAATATTCCCATCCAAACCCAAGTAACAAAGGTGGAGGCATTACTTTTCACTCAACCCTCGTATAATCCAATTAACCCTATTGACCCTACTCTAGTTGACCCTAACTATAGGATTTAGGCTTAAGCAGCTGAGGGGAAAAAAAGAAGAGGCCCAAGGCTGTTAGGAATTTTGGGAGCTGAAGTCCAAAACATCTGGAAGGCCCAAGTTTGCCCATGCCTTGTCTATACCATATTGTAAAGTGTTTGTCTTTGTGAAGCTACAAAACAAATCTAGATACCTCATCACAGAGTTATCAAGCTTGGGTCATTGTCTAGTGACAAAGCACATACCAGAGCACTTTGGTTAATTGACTTTCTGTATGCATTTCCTCCATAATGCACATTTATTAATTCTGACCAACTAAATATACAGGTGTGGGCTAACATCCTAAACACTTCTGCTCACTTTTGGATGGGTCAACAGACCTCATTCCTGCCCCCAGAAAGTTCCATGCAGTTTGGCATGGAACAAAATCAGCAGACTGTTGGTTTTACTCATTAGTGTCATTCAAATGATAGGTGGAATTGTTAACATCAACCCATACCTCATGATTCTCATGGCCCAGAAGATCCGAGAGAACTTTGAGTACCTCATTTGCAATCTTCACACACATTTTCTTCCCTGTGGGGAATCAAACATAAAATACGGGATTCAGTGGCGTCAAAGGTAAACTCTGCACCTGTTATCAACAAGTACGTATCACAAATAGCCATTAGCAGTTATTTAAAGAATAGTAATCAGGAACTGAACCATAAGTCATGGCCTTGATCGTGTTATGCAAATCTGAAGTGGTCGGCTCATGACTTGAGCCTTAAAGAGGGCAAATTCCAAATAGTCTGGATGTGAAAATTACAAGTAAGTCACACCCAAACATGGAAGGATTCTGGAAATGCATAGAATCACAGAGTTGGAAGACACCGCAAGGGCATCTAGTCCAACCCTGTAATACAGGAAAACACAATCAAAGCACCTCCAACAGATGGCCATCCAACCTCTGCTTACAAACCTCCAGAGGTGGAGACTTGATTGGACTATAAGGCAGCTTATTCCTCTGATGAACAGGTCTTACGCTCAGGAAGTACTTCCTAATGTTTACATGGATTTTCTTCCCCTGCAATTTGAATCTATTGCTCCTTTGTGTCCTTGTCTACAGAGGAGCAGAAAACAAGCTGGTCCCTTCCTCAAGGTGACACCTTTTCAGATATTTAAGCATAGCTCTCGTGTGACCTCTCAACCTTCTTCTTCTTCAAGCTAAACATCTCCAGTTCCCTCAGCCATTTCTCATAGGGCTTAGTTTCCAAACCTTTGATCAGTTTGGTTGCCTTTCTCTGGACATCTTCCATCTTGTCCACATCTTCCTAAACTGTAGTGACCAGTATGAGACAGTATGATTACAGGGGAAATTTGGCCAAACAAGAAGAGAGTGGGACCATGACTTCTCTTGATCTGGATAATTTACTTCTACTGGTACAGTCTAGAATTGCATTGGCCTTTTTAGCTGCCACATCATATGGCTCATACTCAGCTTGTGGTCTATTAAGACATCTAGATCCCTCAGTGATCTTTGTCAGAACTTATGTCAACCTTTGCAGCCCGAAAGACAGTTGCGGCTGTCACGTAGGAAATTTAGGCACCGCTTATGCACGGAGGCCTCCAGCAAAGGATCACCGCCTTGTCGGGGCGCTGGAGCTTGAGCACCTCAATGATGTCATGAGCGAAACCGTGAAGGGCCACCCAAGACGGGACGGTTGTGGCAGAGAGGTCAGACCAAGCGTGATCCCTGGGGAACGCAATGGCAAACCACTCCAGTATCCTTGCCAAGAAAACTAAATGGACCAGTACAACCAGAGATATGTCGGTATGCCATTGGAAGATGGGACTCCCAGGTCGGAAGATGGCCAAAATGCTACTGGGGAGGAGCAGAGGATAAGTTCAACTAGCCCCAGATGTGATGACGCAGCTAGCTCAAAGCCGAAAGGAAGGCTAGCGGCCGACGGTACTGGAGGTGAACGACGAATCGGATGCTCTAAAGATCAACACACCATAGGAACCTGGAATGTAAGATCTATGAGCCAGGGCAAATTGGATGTTGTTATTGGTGAGATGTCAAGACTAAAGATAGACATTCTGGGGTGTCAGCGAACTGAAGTGGACTGGAATGGGCCACTTCACATCAGATGACCACCAGATCTACTACTGCGGACAAGAGGAACATCGAAGAAATGGAGTAGCCTTCATAATTAATAAGAAATTCGCTAAAGCGGTGCTTGGATACAACCCAAAAAATGACAGAATGATCTCAATTCGAGTGCAAGGAAAGCCTTTCAACATTACAGTGATCCAAATATATGCCCCAACCACAGCTGCTGAAGAAGCAGAAGTAGATCAGTTCTATGAGGATCTGCAGGACCTACTGGATAATACACCAAAAAGAGACATTATTTTCATTACAGGAGACTGGAATGCCAAGGTGGGAAGTCAAATGAAAACAGGGATCACAGGCAAGCATGGTCTGGGAGAACAAAATGAAGCGGGACGCAGGCTGATAGAATTTTGCCAGGAAAACTCGCTGTGTATAACGAATACTCCCTTCCAACAACCTAAAAGACGGCTTTATACATGGACCTCACCAGATGGTCAACACCGAAATCAGATTGACTACATCCTTTGCAGCCAAAGGTGGCGGACATCCATCCAGTCGGTGAAAACAAGACCTGGGGCTGACTGTAGCTCAGATCACGAACTTCTTATTGCCAAATTTAGAATAAAACTAAAGAGATCAGGGAAAATACACAGACCAGTTAGATATGATCTCACTAACATTCCTAGCGAATATACAGTGGAAGTGAAGAACAGATTTGAAGGACTAGATTTAGTAAACAGAGTCCCAGAAGAACTATGGACAGAAGTCCGCGACATTGTTCAGGAGGCGGCAACAAAGTACGTCCCAAAGAAAAAGAAAACCAAGAAGGCAAAATGGTTGTCTGCTGAGACACTGGAAGTAGCCCAAGAAAGGAGGAAAGCAAAAGGAAACAGTGAAAAGGGGAGATATGCCCAGTTAAATGCGCAATTCCAGAGGTTAGCCAGAAGAGATAAGGAACTATTTTTAAATAAGCAATGCATGGAAGTGGAGGAAGACAACAGAATAGGAAGGACAAGAGACCTCTTCCAGAAAATTAGAAACATTGGAGGTAAATTTCAGGCAAAAATTGGTATGATAAGAAACAAAGATGGCAGGGACCTAACAGAAGCTGAAGAGATCAAGAGAAGGTGGCGAGACTATACAGAAGATCTGTATAGGAAGGATAATAATATTGAGGATAGTTTTGACGGTGTGGTGAATGAATTAGAACACATCCTGAGGAGTGAGGTTGAATGGGCCTTAAGAAGCATTGCTAACAACAAGGCAGCAGGAGACGACGGGATCCCAGCTGAACTGTTTAAAATCTTAAAGATGATGCTGTCAAGGTGATGCATGCCATATGCCAGCAAATATGGAAAACAAGAATGGCCATCAAACTGGAAAAAAACAACTTATATCCCCATACCAAAAAAGGGAAATGCGAAAGACTGCTCCAACTTCCGTACAGTGGCCCTTATTTCTCATGCCAGTAAGGTAATGCTCAAGATCCTGCAAGGAAGACTCCAATAATACATGGAGCGAGAGTTGCCAGATGTTCAAGCTGGGTTTAGAAAAGGCAGAGGAACGAGAGACCAGATTGCCAATATCCGCTGGATAATGGAGAAAGGCAGGGAGTTTCAGAAAAAACATCTATTTCTGCTTCATTGACTATTCTAAAGCCTTTGACTGTGTGGATCATAATAAATCGTGGCAAGTTCTTGGTGGGATGGGCATCCCAAGCCACCTTGTCTCTCTCCTGAGGAATCTGTACAATGACCAAGTAGCAACAGTAAGAACTGACCATGATTACATACATTATATTATTAGCATCTCTCACCCAACCTTTTTAACTTGTATGCAGAACACATCATGCGATGTGCGGGGCTTGATGAATGCAAAGCTGGGGTGAAAATTGCTGGAAGAAACATTAACAACCTCAGATATGCAGATGATACCACTCTGATGGCCGAAAGCGAGGAGGAGCTGAGGAGCCTTCTAATCAAGGTGAAAGAAGAAAGCGCAAAAGCCGGGTTGCAGCTAAACGTCAAAAAAAACCAAGATTATGGCAACAAGAATTATTGACAACTGGAAAATAGAGGGAGAAACCGTGGAGGCCGTGACAGACTTTGTATTTCTAGGTGCAAAGATTACTGCAGATGCAGACTGTGGCCAGGAAATCAGAAGACGCTTACTTCTTGGGAGGAGAGCAATGTCCAGTCTCGATAAAATAGTGAAGATTAGAGACATCAGACTGGCAACAAAGATCCGCCTAGTCAAAGCCATGGTATTCCCTGTAGTCACCTACGGATGTGAGAGCTGGACCTTAGGGAAGGCTGAGCGAAGGAAGATAGATGCTTTTGAGCTGTGGTGTTGGAGGAAAGTTCTGAGAGTGCCTTGGACTGAGAGAAGATCCAACCAGTCCATCCTCCAGGAAATAAAGCCCAACTGCTCATTGGAGGGAAGGATACTAGAGACAAAGTTGAAGTACTTTGGCCACATCATGAGGAGACAGCAAAGCCTAGAGAAGACAATTATGCTGGGGAAAGTGGAAAAAAGAAGAGGGGCCGACCAAGGGCAAGATGGATGGATGGCATCCTTGAAGTGACTGGACTGACCTTGAGGGAGCTGGGGGTGGTAACGGCCGACAGGGAGCTCTGGCGTAGGCTGGTCCATGAGGTCACGAAGAGTCGGAGACGACTGAACGAATGAACAACAACAAAATGCACGGAGGCCAATTTAACTAATTTATGATGCCATAAAAATCTCCAGCAAGCATGCAAATAATGAGGAAGTACTCCATCAGTAACACAAATGGACGGTGAAGCAACAGCTCCCCTGGTGGCCAGAATCCCCTCATGAAGCTGGAATGTTAAATGGTCTCTGTGTGTCTGTCTATATATGTTGTGTGTCTGTGGCACTGAATGTTTGCCACGGTGGTCCACGCTCTGGTTACATCCCATATAGACTACTGCAACGCCCTCTACGTGGGGTTGCCTCTGAAGACTGCCTGGAAGCTACAACTAGTCCAACGTGCGGCAGCCAGATTACTAACAGGAGCGGGGTACAGGGAGCATACTACTTCTCTGTTGTGCCACCTCCACTGGCTGCCAATTGGCTTCCGAGCACAATTCAAAGCGCTAGTGTTGACCTATAAAGCCCTAAATGACTCTGGCCCAGTTTACCTGTCCGAACAGATTCATCAAGGTTGTTAAGATCTACTGGAGGGGCCCAGCTCTCAGTCCCACCACCTTCGCAATCATGTCTGGTGGGGACGAAAGACAGGACCTTCTCGGTTGTGGCCCCTCGGCTGTGGAACTCTCTCCCGATAGAGATCAGATCTGCCCCCTCCCACCTGACTTTCAGAAAGATTGTAAAATCTTTGGCTCTGGAACTTAGCGTTCTCAGATTGATGATCGAATCAATAACTGTTGACCACAAGGCGGATGGTGGTGAATTTGTGATTTACCTTGAGGAATTTGCTTTATGTAATTCTTGATCTGTATTTTAATGTGTTTTAATGTATTAATGTACTATGTTGTTATTATGCTTTAGTTTATTTGTATATTGATTCTCTGTTGTTAGCCGGCCTGAGTCCCTCCTCGGAGGTTGAGAAGACCGGGTTATAAAAGCTCTAAATAAATAATAAATATATGTACATTGTAATCTGCCCTGAGTCCCCTGAAGGGTGAGAAGGGCGGAATATAAATACTGTAAATAAATAAATAAATAGTTGTGCCGTTGATGTGTGCCTTCAAGTCAGCTTCAACTTATGGGTTTTCTGGGCCAGAGGAGGTTTGCTATCGTCTTCTTCTGAGGTTTCCATGGCCATTCCTGGGTCTCCCATGGTCCTAGTACAATACACAAACATCTACATCCCCGTGACCACAAGACTTGCATGGATGTGATTTTTCTCAAACTGCTGTATGCTGGATACCTGCGCTGCGAAGGCAAAGGTTCATGAGCAAGGCAACCGAGTAGGCCAAGGTGTAATCGGACATGCTATCTGTGTCCTTCAAGGCTTCCACCAACCACAGAATGAGACCATCCTTGATCATCGCCGACTGCAAAGCCCGCCTGGCAATTCAAAGACAATAATAACAAAACATTAGATTGAAGACCCACCAGCAGGATACTACAGAAAGCTAACAATTTATCCCAGGTAAGGGCAAACTTGGGCCCTCCAGGTGTTTTGGACTTCAACTCCCACAATTCCTAACAGCCGGTAGGCTGTTAGGAATTGTGGGAGTTGAAGTCCAAAACACCCGGAGGGCTCATGTTTGCCGTACCTGGGATAATTTGTCACCTTTCTTACTGTTTACTCTTTCTTCCCCAAAGTAATCTTACTCAGTCACATATTGCAAAATGAAAATGTCAAAGTGTGACAGAGAAAGAACTGCAGGTGATGGAGCAAACCTGAGGTCATTTCTGGATTTAGAACTCCAAATTACTATAAAACCAGCTTATGGTTTTAAAAAAAAGTTTTTGTAGAGCTGTGAAATTAGAGGACCATGATTAGAGGACGGGCTTAACAACCTGTACTCACTTTGCAGTCGCTCGTAACTGTCTGCATGGTTTTATTCAAACATACAATCTTACAAAACAAGGAAAGGCCAATAAATAAATAAAATTGAGAGTACAAAGGAAAATGAAGCCAAAACCACTAACGTAAAAAACAGAAATAAGAACAATTTTCAAATATATGTAAAACTACAACAGCTAACACATCTTTACTTACAACATGCAACCCAAACTAATCTACAAACCTCAAACTCATTGCCTGCTGATTTTAACTTTCTACTTCCTATTTTCTCTAAGAGTCACTTTATTTCTAAGGCACCAAACTATACGGGTGCCTCAGCACTGCAATGAATGGTTACTGGGTTCGAGGCTATGCTGAGATGAGATGACTAATGGGTGGTATCCATTGTTTGTGTGTAGCAGGTTTTGGTCCTTGGAGATGGAAAGAAAATACAACAACAATTGACACCAGAAGGATACCAATCCTTCATACATTGTGGATGTGAAGCTGGTCTCATCCTGGAAAGAAGTGACAAGTGGAGTGCCGCAGGGTTCTGTCCTGGGCCCGGTCCTGTTCAACATCTTTATTAATGACTTAGATGAAGGGTTAGAAGGCAGGATCAGCAAGTTTGCAGACAACACCAAATTGGGAGGGATAGCCAATACTCCAGAGGACAGGAGCAGGATTCAAAACGATCTTGACAGATTAGAGAGATGGGCCAAAACTAACAAAATGAAGTTCAATAGGGACAAATGCAAGATACTCCACTTAGCCAGAAAAAACAAAATGCAAAGATACAGAATGGGGGACGATGCCTGGCTCGAGAGCAGTACGTGTGAAAAAGATCTTGGGAGTGTCTAGTGTCTAGATCCAGGGAAGTCATGCTCCCTATGCTCTATTCCGCCTTGGTTAGACCACACCTGGAATATTGTGCCCAATTCTGGGCACCACAACTGAAGAGAGATGTTGACAAGCTGGAATGTGTCCAGAGGAGGGCAACTAAAATGATCAAGGGTCTGGAGAACAAGCCCTATGAGGAGCGGCTTAAAGAGATGGGCATGTTTAGCCTGAAGAAGAGAAGGATGAGAGGAGACATGATGATAACCATGATAGCCATGTATAAATATGTGAGAGGAAGCCACAGGGAGGAGGGAGCAAGCTTGTTTTCTGCTTCCCTGCAGACTAGGACATGGAACAATGCCTTCAAACTACAAGAAAGAAGATTCCACCTGAACATGAGGAAGACTGTGAGAGCCGTTCAGCAGTGGAACTCTCTGCCCTGGAGTGTGGTGGAGGCTCCCTCTTTGGAAGCTTTTAAACAGAGACTGGATGGCCATCTGTCAGGGGTGATTTAAATGCAATATTCCTGCTTCTTGGCAGGGGGTTGGACTAGTTGGACAACAATTCCCATAACTCTATAGAACTTGTGACAGTAAAGTTAAAAGGGTGTCAAAGTGCATTAATTCTACACTGTAGATGAATCCCTAGAAAAATGTTCACAAAAGGCCTTTTGTGGCATGCCTCCATCCTGTCAATCACAGGCGACAGTATTTCACATGACAGCTCAGAGCCTTAACTGCAGAACAATCAGTGCGTGGTCCAGTCCTTGTGAGCAGCATGCAACTTCTGCAATGGCCGGAAGTCCTTTATCTGGCCGAGGAGGAGGAAACCAGCACCAAGAAGAACAGATGAGAAGATAACTGCACTTCGCCTGTGAAGCCGTAAGTAAGCAGCCCTCCTGATAGCAACGGGGTTAATGTTTCACTCGCTTGTTGGAAAATTTCGTCCCCTTTTAATGTCTCTGTACCTTTCCCTCCCTTTATTCAAATGTTTAGATAAACCAGGGCCCATAAAAACAGCTAGTAAAGTGATGCATTTATGACTTCTAGATGCCTTTATTGGCTTGGTCCATATGGTGTAGTAGATCTATCCTATCCTTTCCCCAAACAGGCACTTGGTTAAATTTAACTCTTCAATGGTCCTGCTTACTCTGCCTTGGACAAAAAGTTGTTGATATTTTTGCTAGCAAGGGGTCTATTGCTCATTGTAATCTGAAAACAACATAAATGAAGGGAAAAGATGGAAAATATTCAAGTGTATCTTCCAAAGATGAACACAAGCTTTGTGTGGTGGCAAGTCAGTTTACATCGCTCTCTGCAGGGCTGCATTTGGAAAGAATTCAAAAGTTCCAAGTGGTCCAAAATGCAAGAGCCAATGTATTCTCAGAAATAAGGCATTCTGATCATAGCATGTTAGTGACAGATGGTGGTTTTCTCCAGAATGCAGCTCATTCGAGCCTTTTTTGGTTGATTACACGGGGGGAAATGGTTTTCTAAGTGCTTTGATGGAGCAGCCACCATTGGCGCAGTGGGTAAACCCTTGTGCTGGCCGGACTGCTGACCGATAGGTTGGTGGTTTGAATCTGGGGAGCGGCGTAAGCTCCTGCCTCAGCTCTAGCTCCCCATGCAGGGACATGAGAGAACTCTCCCACAGGATGAGGCTCTGGCCATGGTAGTCTATGCTCTCGTTACATCCCAAACAGATTACTGCAATGCGCTCTACATGGGGCTGCCTTTGAAGACTGTTTGGAAACTTTAACTAGTCCAACGAGCGGTAACCAGACTACTTACTGGAGCGACATACAGGGAGCACATCACCCCCTGTTATGTCAGCTCTACTGGCTGCCTGTCCAATTCCGAGCACAATTCAAAGTGCTGGTCTTGACCTATAAAGCCCTATACGGTTCCGGCCCAGCTTACTTGTCCGAACGTATCTCCCCTTACGTCCCACCTCGAAATTTACGATCTTCCGGGGAGGCCCTGCTCTCGATCCCACCTTCGTTGGAAATGCACTTAGTGGGGACAAGGGACAAGGCCTTCTTGGTGGTGGCCCCCCGCCTGTGGAACTCGCTCCCCTGCGAAATTAGGTAAACGCTTCCCTCCTTTCCTTTAGGATAAAGTTGAAGACGTAGCTATGGGACCAGGCATTTGGATAGCAGGTTGACAATAAAAATGATGACAATGCTATGGAAAATGGGCCATGGACTGGCTTCGGATTAAGTTGTTGATTGTAGAACTTGGAATATTTATACTATTTTAAATAGTTTTTAATCTAATTTAATGTTTACTTATTATGTAATGGCTGTTTTATCTATTGTATATATGGGGCACCGAATTGTTGCCAGCTGTAAGCTGCCCTGAGTCCCCCTTCAGGGATAGAGAAGGGAGGGGTACAAATATTTGAAATAAATAAATAAATAAATAAACATCAAACATCTGTGCATCTCTGGGCAATATCCTTACAGATGGCCAATTCTCTCACACCAGAAACAAATTTAGGTTGTTTACCTGTAACCGTAGTTCCCCGAGTGGTCACCTGTGAATTCGCACATATGGTATTTCCTGCGCCTGCGCAGAAAATACCATATGTGCGAACCATATGTGTGATTCACAGTTGACCACGATGGGGAAAATTAGGTTGCTTACCTGTAACCGTAGTTCCCCGAGTGGTCACCTGTGAATTCGCACATATGGCATTTCCTGCACCTGCGCAGAAAATATCATATGTGCGAACCATATGTGTGATTCACAGTTGACCACGATGGGGAAAATTAGGTTGCTTACCTGTAACCGTAGTTCCCCGAGTGGTCACCTGTGAATTCGCACATATGTCTGCTAAATACCACATGTGCGAACCATATATGTGATTCACAGTTGACCACGATGGGGAAAATTAGGTTGCTTACCTGTAACCGTAGTTCCCCGAGTGGTCACCTGTGAATTCGCACGAATAGACTACTGCAACGCTCTCTACGTGGGGTTGCCCTTGAAGACTGTTCGGAAACTTCAACTCGTTCAACGAGCGGCGGCTAGATTGCTCACCGGAGCGACATACAGGGAGCATACCACCCCCCTGCTATGCCAGCTCCACTGGCTGCCGATTCAGTTCCGAGCACAATTCAAGGTGCTGGTTTTGACCTACAAAACCCTATACGGTTCCGGTCCAGTGTATCTGTCCGAACGTATCTCCCTCTATGTCCCACCCCGGAGTCTGAGATCATCTGGGGAGGCCCTGCTCTCGACCCCACCACTGTCACAAGTGAGGCTGGTGGGGACGAGGAGCAGGGCTTTCTCAGTGGTGGCCCCTCATCTGTGGAACTCTCTCCCGGGGGAAATCAGGGCATCATCATCCCTCCTCGCCTTTAGGAGGAGGGTGAAGACGTGGTTATGGGACCAGGCCTTTGGGCACCCTGGCAATTAAATTAGACAATCAGCAAGTAAGACCAACAGGACTGATGAAATGGAACATAGAACTAGATCTATGAGTTAGCGAACGCTGACCATGTAAGAGGAGAAATTGGGTTTGTATAGGTTTTATTGATTTTAGTAATTTTATGGTTATAATGCAAGAACTGTTATTAATTGCGAATTGTTGTAATTTTGTGTATGATTGTTTTATGATGCAGGCATCGAATTGTGCCTTCGCCTTTGTAAGCCGCTCTGAGTCCCCTTCGGGGTGAGAAGGGCGGGGTAGAAGAACCCCAAATAAATAAATAAATAAATGGTATTTCCTGCGCAGGCACAGATAGATAGATAGATAGATAGATAGATAGATAGATAGATAGATAGATAGATAGGCAAACAGATTGACAGATAGACTATTACAAAGGATAAGGTGCCCTGGTTCAGACAAAGACAAAGGACTAAACTTAATGTCAAGGGGAAACCTTTACCTTTACAGATATATTGTGCAACTTGAACATTTTGCAGGTTTTGGAGTGGGGGTCCTGGAACGAAACCCCAGTGGATACCAAGGACCTATTGCACAATCTTGATACAGTCACAGTTGCACGAATCACTGTCATATCAGAAGAAATGAGTACAAGATCTGTGTGCCGAAGGTACGGTAAGCAGTGGGACTGGTGGAAAGAGAACGTGCTCAATAACCTAACTGTAATGAATTCAAAGGCCACTTTTTATAAGTTGTTACACCTAAAGTACTAAATGTCTTATAACGTTTTTAAAAAGTACACTGCTTTGCTGTGGTTACATGTGACGAATGTATGGTGCTGGCCATCTTTGCTCTCACCCATAAAGCAAAGATTCAAACAGAACATTTTCTCAGAGAGATTTGAGTTAAAAGAGCTTCCCATCCCTGCTTCTGTGCTCAGGCCTAAAGTGCCTTGCTCTTGTTCTTCCACCCACTTCTGAAGATGTTGCAACAGCAAAAACCAGCACTGGCCCTGCTCTTTGTCTTCATAGGAGGTTTCCCATTGCCTTCCTCTGTGGCTGGGAATGTATGAACACTACTCAGTTGCCATGGCTGAACGGTATTCGAACACTGGTCTCCCAGGGTCTCAGTCCAACACTCAAACCACTACTCCAGCCTGGCTCTCAGTGCCTTCAAGTCTACTCCAGCTTATGGCAATCCTATCCTAGTCCTTCTCGGTCAAGATTTCTTCACACAACTGGTCCACCGCAATCACGGTGTTCCTAAAACTCAAGAGTCCACATAAGGCAGGCAGGTGTTGGGACTTCAACTCCCACAATTCCTAACAGCAATTATGGGAGTTGAATTCCAAAACATCTGAAGGGCCCAAGTTTGCCCATGCCTGACATAAGGTTTTTGCAACCATGGACCATTTCCAATTACAATGTAGTAATTACTGACCACCTTGATTAGCATTTGATGGCCTGGCAGTGCCTGGGGCAATCTTTTGTTGAGAGGTGATTAGATGTCCCTGATTGTTTCCCCTCTGTTGTTTTGCTGTTGTAATTTTAGAGTTTATTTAATACTGGTAGCCAGATTTTGTTCATTTTCATGGTTTCCTCCTTTCTGTTGAAATTGTCCACATGCTTGTGGATTTCAATGGCTTCTCTGTGTATTCTGACATGGTGGTTGTGAGAGTGGTCCAAACAAGGACATCTAATTACCTCTCAACAAAAGATTGTCCCAGGCACTGCCAGGCCATCAAATGCTAATCAAGGTGGTCAGTTGAAACATTCACACCTGGCTCCAACAGACAAGAGTTCTTTGTCCCACCCTGGTCATTCCACAGATATATAAACCCATTTCCTAGTTCCAACAGACCTCACTACCTCTGAGGATGCTTGCCATAGATGCAGGCGAAACGTCAGGAGAGAATGCCTCTAGAACATGGCCATATAGCCCAAAAAAACCTACAACAACCCAGTGATTCCGGCCATGAAAGCCTTTGACAATTATTATTATTATTATTATTATTATTATCTGATGAAGATAATATGTGACCAATCATGCACAATGTATTTTAACGGTTTTTATAATGTTTCCTTATGTCTCTGTATCTGTTGTGTTTTTAAGAATAATTAATCTTTTTCTATTAAAGATACTTATTAAGTACAAAACCAGGTGCAAAGTATGATAGAGGTTGGAGGGTTTGAGGCACAACGGAGGACGGTGCCAAACCCAGCAAAGCCCAGCAGAATCCTCTTCTATCTCTAAGTGACAGGACTGCCTCCTTCCTCCATCCGCTCCGGAGGACTTTGATGAGAGCTGCATGACAAGCAAGGGCTCTCCTTTCACCCTGCGTGCCGCCCAAGGAGCCTGCCTTTCCCTCCCTGCTGTCAACAGGACCCCGAAAGGCTTTCGTCACCTGAGGCTAAGTTTCTGCAAAGCTCCCAGGACATTCTCTCGGGTAAGAGAATACTTGTCCTCAGCTTTCAGCCTCTCTTCCAGCATTCGGAGCAGACGGGGATTCTGGGAAAGGTAAAGCCGACCTGGAATTAAAACAGGAGATGAATCAAATTGGGAAGAACAGCTGGTCTCTTACTCGTCCATAAAAACAGTTTCTATTTGGGTTGTTGTAGTTTTTTTCGGGCTATATGACCATGTTCTAGAGGCATTCTCTCCTGACGTTTCGCCTGCATCTATGGCAAGCATCCTGAGGATGCTTGCCATAGATGCAGGCGAAACGTCAGGAGAGAATGCCTCTAGAACATGGTCATATAGCCCGAAGAAAACCTACAACAACCCAGTGATTCCAGCCATGAAAGCCTTCGACAATACAGTTTCTATTTGTTTCTGCGACAACATCAAAACCAGCTGTCTGGCTGGCTGCTCCACGTTCTTGCCAGCACTGATTTATCTAAACACCTGAACCTTCTCTGACATAAATGCACAGGCTGATCAGAGCCAGAAAAACAGTGATTTTACTATTTCAGGTCTTACCTTCAGCCAATGAGGCAAAAGCATTAATAAGCCTGGCTGTATACTGACGAACCACCTCACTCTTTGACTGTATCAGCATCAACACACTTCTCTGAAAGAGAAAAGGAACGCTTTATGAAAAACTCTGCCATCCCAAAATGAGGGAAACATTTTGTTTGCCTGACTGCTTGTGTGCGTCTCCCAACGGGAATGAGAACAAAATGAGAACAAAATGCTCTCCGTTGCTCATTTATGCTTGGATGCAGAGAAAATCAATGGCACCAAAACTCAGCCACTTCTGGACTCACAACACTCAGGTGTAAAAGAAATGAAATAATCTGGGTTGCTGTGAGTTTTCTGGGCTGTCTGACCATGTTCTAGAAGCATTCTCCCCTGACGTTTCACCCACATCTATGGAGCCCCCGGTGGCGCAGTGGGTTAAACCCCTGTGCTGGCAAGACCGACAGGTCGCAGGTTTGAATCCGGGGTGAGGCGGATGAGCTCCCTCTATCAGCTCCAGCTCCTCATGCGGGGGCATGAGAGAAGCCTCCCACAAGGATGATAAGAAAACATCAAATCATCCAGGCGTCCCCTGGGCAACGTCCTTGCAGACAGCCAATTCTCTCACACCAGAAGCGACTTGCTCCTGACACGAAAAAAAAAACAAACAACAAAAACCCACATCTATGATAGGCATCCTCAGAGGTTGTGAGGTATATTGGAAACTAAGCCAGGAAGGCTTATATATCTGTGGAAGGTCCAGGGTGGGAGAAAGAACTCTAGTCTCTTGGAGATAAGTGCTAATATTGCAATTAAACTGGGCTTTACAGGCCAATGAAGACTCTACCGTAGACATCAGAAGAGCTCCAAGGCCTAAGACCAAGCCATGAGAGTAAGGACAAAGATCCAACCAGAAAAAAAGTTTAGAATACTCTTTGGAGTGTAGTATGCTCTTTGATTGTAGGTTAACTATAAATCCCAGCAACTACAACTCCCAAATGACAAAACCAATTTTTTTATGAGTGATGGTCACTCCTTGGGTTAGTAGGTGTCTTGTGGCCAAATGTGGTGACAATTGATCTAGTGGTTTTTGAGTTATGTTAATCCCACAAGCGAACATTACATTTTTATTTATATAGATTCAATGAACGTCTGCCACTGCCAACCTGGACACTGTTGTAGCAATCCAAAAGGTCATTGTTGATATAAGCCTGCAGCACTGTGTCCCTCTGCTCACCGGGGTGAGAGGTTGTCAAACGCTGTGGAAGAAGCACAGAGGTGTTTGTGAATAACTAATTCATTAGAGAGAATATTGAGATTCAAGCAGAAGCCAATCCTTTTTCTGTATCTCAGAAAACTATCCTCTAGGACAGGACCAATAAAGACGTTGGTACTGGACTCAACTCACCAACCAGAAAAATCCAGCTTCCACCTTCCACACAGCCATATAACCCAGACTACCAAGGGAGAAAATTCCACAATATCTTGAACTGGGTTATCTGAGTCCACACTGACATATTTTCCAGTTCAAAGCAGATAATCATAGAATCATAGAATCATAGAGTTGGAAGAGACCTCATGGACCATCCAGTCCAACCCCCTGCCAAGAAGCAGGGAAATTGCATTCAAAGCACCCCTGACAGATGGCCATCCAGCCTCTGTTTAAAAGCTTCCAAAGAAGGAGCCTCCACCACACTGGGGCAGAGAGTTCCACTGCTGAACGGCCTTCACAGTCAGGAAGTTCTTCCTCATGTTCAGATGGAATCTCCTTTCTTGTAGTTTGAAGCCATTGTTCCGCGTCCTAGTCTCCAGGGAAGCAGAAAACAAGCTTGCTCCCTCCTCCCTGTGGCTTCCTCTCACATATTTATACATGGCTATCATATCTCCTCTCATCCTTCCCTTCTTCAGGCTAAACATGCCCAGCTCCTTAAGCGCTCCTCATAGGGCTTGTTCTCCAGACCCTTGATCATTTTAGTCGCCCTCCTCTGGACACATTCCAGCTTGTCAATATCTCTCTTGAATTGTGGTGCCCAGAATTGGACACAATATTCCAGGTGTGGTCTAACCAAGGCAGAATAGAGCATGGTAGCATGACTTCCCTAGATCTAGACACTATGCTCCTATTGATGCAGGCCAAAATCCCATTGGCTTTTTTTGCCGCCACATCACATTGTTGGCTCATGTTTAACTTGTTGTCCACGAGGACTCCAAGATCTTTTTCACACGTACTGCTCTCGAGCCAGGCATCCCCCATTCTGTATCTTTGCATTTCGTTTTTCCTGCCAAAGTGGAGTATCTTGCATTTGTCACTGTTGAACTTCATTTTTTTAATTTTGGCCCATCTCTCTAATCTGTCAAGATCGTTTTGAATCCTGCTCCTGTCCTCTGGAGTATTGGCTCCCTCCCAATTTGGTGTCGTCTGCAAACTTGATGATCCTGCCTTCTAGCCCTTCATCTAAGTCATTAATAAAGATGTTGAACAGGACCGGGCCCAGGACGGACCCTGCGGCACTCCGCTCGTCACTTCTTTCCAAGATGAAGAGGAAGCATTGGTGTGGGATTTTATTCAGCTGTGTGGAAGGGGCCTCAGCAAAAAGGCCATGCTCTCCACTTATTCTTTCCTAAATGACTTGGGAAACGCAGGCACTTGAGGAAGCTGTACCAGTCCATCTCTCCTGCTCAAACTTGACATCAGTAGCACTGGGTTAATAACATCTCTGCATTTACATCTTCACCAGCTTTCCCTTACGACTTCCTAAACAATGTTCACTTGTATGACATTTGAATGGCACTTTTACTGGTTAAAAGGGAACAGGAACAGAAAAATAAGGTGAGAAACCAAGCACCGTTGGAACACCCCTGAGCTTGGAAACAAGCAAAAGGTCGGCTAGAGGGGAGAAAGGCAAGATACCCATTTAATAAATGGAGTAGGCAATGGAGATGAGTTCGCCTCAGACATTTGACATTTGGCATCATCCCTAATGGCCTAAAAAGCACGTGTTTGCCTGCCTCTTGCGCAGCTCACCTACCCAACGCAATGCTTGCAGGAGGAAGGCTTTTAGGCGGTCGTTGCCATCCACCAGGTCCTTCTTGAGCTTCTCATAATCCAAGGAAGGCAAGAGGGGCACTTCTTGTATTTTCCTGTATGTAATAAAGAAGCAGGCACTTATGGGATACAAGCACTTATGGAGAAGAGCGGAAACCCTATGTTAGGTAGAGGCAGATTTATTTATTTATTTACTTTATTTGTATACTGCTCTTCGCAGCCCTTAGGTGACTCAGAGCGGTTTACAACAATTTAGGTATACACAATACAAAATCATTAAGCATTTAAAAGCAATAGCATCATAAATCATTAAACATCAATATCAATACATCTCTACATCCATATAACAAATCCACCAAGTCTCATCAGACCGCAACTTGTAACAGTAGTTCTTTAAGTAGTCCCTTGCAGAGTCCTTAGGACTGACACAGCGAAAACCACAGGTGGCTCCTGCCCTTTTAAAGCAGACATGGGCAAACTTGGGCCCTCCTTCCTGGTGTTTTGGACTTCAACTCCCATAATTCCTAACAGCCAGCTGTTAGGAATTGTGGGAGTTGAAGTCCAAAACTCCTGGAGGGAGGGCCCAAGTTTGCCCATGCCTGCTTAAAATGTTGTGTAGAAGAAGAAGGAGGAGGAGGAGGAGGAGAAAAAGAAGGAGGAGGAGGAGAAAAAGGAGGTGGAGGAGGAGAAGGAGCAGAAGGAGGTGGAGGTAGAGGAGGAGAAGGAGGTGGAGGAGGTGGAGGAGGCGGAGGAGGCAGAGGAGAAGGTGCAGGAGGTGGAGGAGGTGGTGGAGGAGGAGGAGAAGGAGGAGGTGGACGAGGAGGAGGTGGACGAGGAGGAAGTGGATGAGGAGGAGGTGGAGGAGGAGAAAGAGAAAGAGAAGGAGGAGGAAAAGAAGGAGAGGAGGAGGAGAAAAGGAAAAAGGAGGAGCAGGAGGAGAAGGAGCGGAAGGAGAAGGCAAAGGAGAATGAGGAGGAGGAGGTGTAGGAGGAGAAGGAGGAGAAGAAGGGAACGAGGAGGAGGAGAAGGAGAAGGAAGAGGAGGAGGAGAAGAAGAAGAAGAAGAGGAGGAGGAGGAGGAAGAAGACGACTACTGAGGGATTTCAACTGTTTGTCACTTGGTTACATGACAAGCCACATCAGCTGAAATTCCTTTTTATTCAACTGCTGCATAAAAGCCTTACCCAGTTCTCGTTCTGGCAACTTCACCAGCCATACACAAGGGACAGATGTCAGTGATCAGCACCCTTCTAGAATATCTATAGTTAGACTAGTTTTTCCACTTTCTCTGTATACTTAAGGATGTGCCTACTCTCACTTTCCTGCTCATACTAAGCTTCCAACCAACGCAGGAAATCTAGATAGAGAAATGGATACAGTGGGACCCAACCTTTTGACCTCCAGGACTTCAGCTTCCACAGTTCCTAACAGCTGGAAAGCTGGCTGGGATTTCTGGGAGTTGAAGTCCAAATCACCTGGAGGCCCAAAGGTTGGAAACTTCTGTGAGACAGCAGCTGCCTCAATCATACAACTACAGAGAAGATGGTCCAAACAGCAGGAACAGGCACATCTTATCTGCTTTTGTTGGAAGAGACATGTTTTCATTTGCCAAGAGATGAACAGTACAGATGGAGGAATCCTTGCTTCCCTAAGGAGGGAATTCCAAAATCAAGGAGCAACAACTGAGAAGGCCCTGTCTTGTGTTCCCACCAGAAATTGTTCAGAAGGTGGTGAGACCAAACCCTTCTCCCAAAGATCTCAGAGCTTCGGCGAGCTCCTATAGGAAAGGCCTGTATAACTACCTCTCTCCTGATCCAACTACTTTTCAAAAAGTCAATCAACAAAGAACATTACATTTCAAAGAACAATACTTACACAGGAGCTAATGATGCTCTTAACATGTTGGCGGCCTGCACAGGAGACAAAGAGAGAGCGCACACAGCATATTAGCCAACAACCTTATCTAGTGATCTTCTACGCAAATTATAACAACCAAATGCCATTTAATTCCTTTTTGTCTGGTCCTAGCACACCACAGAGTTGCATTGAAGGATTTAGCAATTCCCAAAAAGGTATTTTCTTAAATAATTTACTAAGTCCTCCAATGCAACTGTAGGGTAACTTTCAGGGGACACATACCATAGAATCAGCTGGAGGACTTTTCTTATGGAGAGATGGGTTCCATGATTACAGGGGATTTAAAGGTTTCCCCTTGACATTAAGTCTAGTCGTGTCCAACTCTGGGAGGCTGTGCTCATCTCCATTTCTAAGCCGAAGAGCCAGCGTTGCCCATAGACATCTCCAAGGTCATTTAGCCGGCATGACTGCATGGAGCGCCAATACCTTCCCACCAAGGCGGTACCTATTGATCTAATCACATTTGTACCCTGCTGACCCTGCTCCCCAAATTTCATAGTATCATAGAATCATTGAGTTGGGAGAGACCTCGTGGCCATCCAGTCCAACCCCATTCTGCCAAGAAGCAGGAAAATCCCATTCAAAGCACTCCCGACAGATGGCCATCCAAAGGAGGAGCCTCCACCACACTACAAGGCAGAGAGAGCGTTCCACTGCTGAACAGCTCTCACAGTTCCTGTTCTTCCTAATGTTCAGGTGGAATCTCCTTTCCTGTAGTTTGAAGCCATTGTTCCATTGCGTCCTAGTCTCCAGGGAAGCAGAAAACAAGCTTGCTCCCTCCTCCTCCCTGTGGCTTCCTCTCACATATTTATACACGGCTATCATGTCTCCTCTCAGCCTTCTCTTCTTCAGGCTAAACATGCCCAGCTCCCTAAGCCACTCCTTATAAGTCCACATATAAATATGTGACTTCCCCTCACATATTTATATTTGTTTGTTTATTTACTATATTTGTATACCGCCTTTCTCATCCCGCAGGCAACTCAAGGCGGTTCACAGGGTAAAATTCAATGCTTACAATATCATAAATACAATTAAAACATTACATAAAATTAAAAACTAAACAAAATCAATAAAATATAAATCATTAGTGTCTCCTTGTTAAAAACGTTGTCCGTTCTCGTTGTCTACTCGTTCCGTTGTCCTATGTCAATTACTCTGCATTTGCAAACATTTGCTCAAAAAGCCATGTCTTGACTTTTTTCCGGAATGTTAAAAGGGAGGGGGCCGATCTAATATCTATAGGGAGGGCGTTCCATAGCCGAGGCCACCATCGAGAAGGCCCTGTCACTCGTCTCCTATGACCCCCCTCTCACATACTTATACATGGCTATCATGTGTCCTCTCAGCCTTCTCTTCTGCAGACTAAACATGTCCAGCTCTTTAAGCCACTCCTCATAGGGCTTGTTCTCCAGACTCTTGATTATTTTAGTTGCCCTCCTCTGGACACATTCCAGCTTGTCAACATCTCCCTTCAATTGTGGTGGCAAGAATTGGACATGATATTCCAAATGTGGTCTGACCAAGGCTGAATGGGGGGGGGGGGCATGACTTCCTTGCATCTGACACTATATTCGTATTTATGCAGGCCAAAATCCCATTGGCTTTTTTTTTTTTGCGGCCGCGTGACATTGTTGGCTCTTGTTTAACTTGTTGTCCACAAGGACTTGAAGATCTTTTTCGATCAGCAAGTTCAGTAACTCAGCGTTTTAATCTGCTACGGTACGGGGGCTACAGGGGACTTACTGTATAATAAAATCCAAGATATATGACCACATAGCCTTCCTCACCCTGCACCCTTCATACATGTGAGAAAAAGCTAACAAGATCCCCTCCCCACATTTTCTATCTTCCTAAATATTTGAATTCAAATATCCTGCAGGGTCTCTTCTCCCCACCCTAAACCTCCTATTATCCCTTGAAGAATGCAATTACCCCAAGACATCAAAACCCCAGTTTCCTTTGTCTCTTTTGAGACGATGGGGCTACGTTAAAATGACTTGGAGGTGTGCCCCAAAAGCAGAAAACTGAATCATTCTGTGCAAATTTTCCCACCATCCATCTCAGTGATGTCAATGGGTGTCATTTATTCCCGGAATATTCATTGTCATCGTCTTTTTTGTCACAATTATGTCGCCTTGCTTTGTGCGCTCCTTCCTGGCTCGCCTTCTCTTATAACGCAGGGCCTTTCATGGCGCTCCCGCAATCAGAGCCTATTGTTGAGGCATTTGTAGGGGAAGACAAAAGGCATGAAATGCCAAGGGGGAGATCGGATTACTCCCTCCGACACACCATCCGGACGCATGGGGTTCTGCAAAGCCGCCCTATGTAATCCAAGGAGCATGGCTCTCACAAACCAAGGTGTGTATACACACACCTCTATAGGAATTCATTTCATATTATGCTTAAATCAAAGAGCGATGAGACATAATCGCCAATTAAAAGCCCTAGAGCCTTCAAACTCAAGTTTCCCCCCAACACAGGGATTACCTTCTCGGGCAGAGATGCCTTGCAGATGCATTGTGTGTTCTGTCTAAATCCCTTTGGCCTTTCATTTGTTTATCTCCATTTTTGGTGAATACTTTTGATTAATAGCGGCAATCCTTTTGTGTGGGTGAGACCCTTCCCATCCCTGCCCAACCAGCTAATTCCCACAATAAAAGAATGCAGATTTGAACTTTCTTAGGTAGTGCTGTGCCCTAAACATTTAAATAAAATCTTGAGAGGGAAAGAAAGGAAAGAAGGAAAGGAAAGGAGGAAGGAAGAAAGGAAAGGAAAGGAAAGGAAAGAAAGAGAAAGGAAAGGAAAGAAGGAGGAAAGGAAAGGAAAGGAAAGGAGAAGGAAGGAAAGAAAAGGAAAGGAAGGAAAGGAAGGAAGGAAGAAAGGAAGGAGAGGAAGGAAAGAAGGAAAGGAAGAGGAAGGAAAAGAAAAGAAAGAAGAGGAAAGAAAGAGGAAAGGAAAGGAAAGAAAGAGGAAAGGAAAGGAAAGGAAGGGGAAAGGAAAGAAAGAGGAAAGGAAAGGAAAGAAAGAGGAAAGGAAAGGAAAGGAGGAAAGGAAAGGAAAGGAAAGGAAAGGAAGGAAGGGAAAGGAAAGGAAAGAAAGAGGAAAGGAAGGAAGGAAGGAAGGAAGGAAAGGAAAGGAAAGGAAAAGAAGGAAAGGAAGGAAAGGAAAGGAAAGGGAAAGAAAGAAAGAAAGAAAAAAAGAAAAAAAGAAAGAAAGAAAGAAAGAAAGAAAGAAAGAAAGGAAAGGAAGGAAAGGAAAGGAAAGGAAGGAAAGGAAAGGAAGGAAAGGAAAAGGAAGGAAAGGAAAGGAAAAAAAAAAGGAAAAAAGGAAGGAAAGGAAAGGAAAGGAAGAAAGGAAAGGAAAGGAAAGGAAGGAAAGGAAGAAAGGAAAGGAAGGAAAGGAAGGAAAGGAAAGGAGAGGAAAGGAAAGGAAAGGAAAGGAAGGAAGGAAAGGAAAGGAAAGGAAAGAAAGGAAAGGAAAGGAAAAGGAAAGAAAAGGAAAGGAAAGGAAAGGAAAGGAAGAAAGGAAAGGAAAGGAAAGGAAAGGAAAGGAAAGGAAAGGAAAGGAAAGGAGAAAGGAAAGGAGAGGGAAGGAAGGAAAGAAAAAGCACCCATTGTATTACTGGGTTGCTGTAGATTTTTCAGGCTATATGGCCATGTTCCAGAAGCATTCCCTCCTGACGTTTCGCCCGCATCTATGGCAGGCATTCTCAGAGGTTGTGAGGTGTGTTGGAAACTAGGAAAATTTGATTTATATATCTGTGGAATGTCCAGAGTGGGAGAAAGAGCTCTTGTCTGTTGGAGCTAGATGGGAATGTTTCAATTAGCCACCTTGATTAGCATTTGATGGCCCGACAGTTTTTAAGTGTGACTTGTTACTGCCTGGGGAAATCCTTTGTTGGTTAATTTTTGGTGAATACTTTTGATTAATAGAGGCAGTTCTTTTGTGTGGGTGAAACCCTTCCCATCCCTGATTAGCTATCCCTGATTGTTTCTTGTCTGGAGTTCCCCTATGTTTGAGTGTTGTTCTTTATTTGCTGTTATAATTCACTCCAGACAAGAATTGTTTAAAGCCACAGGTGACCCACATTGCCTGTGGCTTTAAACAATTCTTCCTCTGTGCATGAGGCAGGACATTGTGGACAAGCATACAGGTGCAAACTTGTCTATCCTGCTCCACAGTCGCACAAGATGGATGATTCTTTTAGATCGTGCCATTTTGCTAGGTTGTCTTTTAATCTGCCCACTCCGCTTCAGAGTCTGTTCAAGGACTTCCAAGTTGACCATTCTTGGTTTGCTCCAGGAGGAGGATCCTCATGGGGATCCATTCCAGTTGGAATTTCCTAGTTTAGCTGTCTTTCTGATCAGTCTTGTCTTCTCACAATATGTCCAAAATACGAGAGTCTCAGTCATTTTGGCTTCCAGGGAGAATTTAGCCTTGAGTCTCAGTCATTTTGGCTTCCAGGGAGAATTCACCTGTGGAACTCACTCCTGCGGGAAATTAGGTCATCAACTTCCCTCCTCTCCTTCAGGAAGAAAGTAAAGACAGGCCTGTGGGACCAGGCCTTTGGGCAATCTGACAACTAGATAAGGACAATCAGACGATTAGGACTGACAGGACTGACAAAGTGGAATTGGAAACTGGACTATGAGATGGCGAACGCTGACCGTTAATGAGGTGGTTTTTAGTGGTTTTAATGGCTTTATTGGTTTTATTGTTATATGCAGAAACTGTTAACTGTTAATTGCTGCTAGATTGTTTTATGCTACTGTTATGTGATGTCGGCATCGAATTGTGCCTTTGTAAGCTGCCCTGAGTCCCCTTCGGGATGAGAAGGGCGGGGTAGAAGTAACCGAAATAAGAAATAAATAAATTGATTTGCTCTGGGACCCAGTCATATGTTTTTTTTTAGGAATACATGGTATCTATGGGACTAACCAACAAAAGTCTAGGCATGCATGAGTTCCCCGTAAATATCCTGCTCCTATTT